CATAACACCCTACTCATCCATTCAATAGCAAACAGGTAGACCGGATTGTAATGAGGGGTATTGAACATCTTGGGTGCTGTTTTCTTACTGTAGAGTGTAGGGAGACTCATGTCAGTAGACTAGGAATGGGATTTTCTGAAAATATGGGAATGGATGTTAAGCCCCACCCACTTTTTCTGCAATCTTCTTCCCATACTTATTGTGCAACCTCTCATATACTGGAACCACAGACCTTTCCTGAATACACCTGACACACATAAATGTCTACCTGTCATCCCTGCCCAGTGGATACACTGTTCTGCATATATCACTTGGGAGTACCATTTCCATGGCAGTCTAAATCCTCAGTAGAAATGTTCTCTCATTATTAATTCATTAACAAGTTTCCTTCTGACAAGTGATTTTATCATTAGTTTTTACACACATTTGTGTCATCAACAACAAATGGGTTAAAGAGCTTAAGTAATAATGTCTGTGAGCCAGAAATGGAATGACTTGGAGTTGTTCAGAGAAATAGATGTTAAGCCATACCTGATTTCAATCACAGTCTCTTCCCTACCCTCTATTCTTCAAACTCTTAACTGTTCCATGCATGTTCCCTGCGTCAGGATTACCTTAATGCATCCCTGCGGCATGATGTAGGTCAATGACCTATGATTACGAACTTATAAATAAGAAAAGCCAAGATGATTACCAAATAGAGGGGGGGGGACACTCTTAGGATTAATATGTCATATGTTGCTGTCTAAATGTAATATGCTGAAAATCATTAGGGAGACAGGGATCCAATTTTGCCTCAGAAGTTATACAAGGTGATGCTCAAAGGCAAGCAATGTTGCAGCAGCAGTATATACCTAAAGAGGTCTCTGACTATTTGAATCAGCTCCCAAAGGCAGAAGTAAAAAGTGAAGTAGTCTGACATTTTGTCTCTAATACTCAGATAGTTTTTCCACATATGTCCAATGTACTTATGATTGTTGTGACAGGCACATACGAGGTGTGGCTATTAAGTTTCCAGACTTTATTTTTGTATTTTTTACTTTTAATCTTACAAATTAATCACATTTATCGCCTTCAAAGTACTCCCCTCCAGAACGTATACACTTATCCCAACGATGCTGCAATTGCTGGAAACAGCGGTGGAAGGCTTCTTTCGGGATGTCTTTCAGAGCCTGCATCACATTTGTTTGAATGTCTTCAATGCTTTGAAATCGATGGCCTTTCAAAAAATTTTTGAGTTTGGGAAATAGCCAAAAGTCACTGGGGGCTAAATCGGGCGAATACGGCGGGTGATCCATTTCAGTGATCCGTTTGGCGGCCAAAAACTCTCGGACAGACAGGGCTGTGTGAGCCGGCGCGTTATCGTGATGCAAGATCCACGAGTTCTCCTTCCACAGATCGCCCCTTTTCCTCCTCACAGCCTCACGCAACCTCTTCAAAACGTTCTGGTACAACATCTGGTTGACTGTTTGTCCTTCTGGGACGAATTCGGAGTGGACGATTCCGTTGACATCAAAAAAACAAATCAGCATCGTCTTGATTTTCGACTTCGACATTCGGGCTTTTTTCTGTCTCGGTGAATTTGCAGTTCTCCATTCAAGGGATTGACGTTTCGTTTCCGGATCATATTGATAACACCATGTCTCATCTCCAGTGATGATTCTCTCCAAAATATTTCCTTCTCCAGCTCTTTCTGAGAGATCCAAACAAACGTCCAATCGCCTTTGTTTTTGTTCAGCTGTCAGCAATCGAGGCACCATTTTCGCTGTCACCTTTCTCATGCTCAAATCATCCTTCAAAATCCGTCGAACAGTTTCTTTATCTAAATTCAACTCTTCTGCTATCATTCTAATTGTCAACCGCCTGTCTGAACGCACTAAATCCGTAACTTTTGAGACATTTTCAGGTGTTCGTTTGGTGATTGGCGCTCCACAACGCTGGTCGTCATTGACGTCTTCTCTTCCCTCTTTAAACCTTTTATGCCACAAAAAAACTTGCGCTCTTGACATAGTATGATCACCATAAACTTTTCTTAACATTTCGAGCGTTTCAGTTGCGGATTTTCCCAGTTTAACACAAAATTTGACGTTAGTTCTCTGCTCGAGATTATGCTCCATTTCAAATCCGCCAGCGCAAACAAATACGGTCTACCTTAACTGGCCGCAGCTCGCAGAGCGCTGGTCAGACCACACTGAAACTTGCCCAGCTATAAGCTAAGACTCCCCTCCATGTTACTGCCATAGCCCCACTCCCCTCCTCTCTCTCAAAGTTCAGCAATAAAACCAGTCTGGAAACATAATAGCCACACCTCGTATTCATACATTTCAGCACAAACTGCATGCATCCAAATTTCCTAGTAAACTTTCTATGGATTTGTGGTTATGTACTGAATACAAACATTTGCATATTTTAACACTAATGCAGTCATAGATTGAAATTCAGTATTCTGATTAGATAGGGATAATGATAGGGATGTGATGTTCAATTTTTGAAAAAAAATATAATTGACCATTATTCTGAAACACAAGGTTAGACCTTGACCTTTTTCACATAAAAAGAGCTTATGAAATGACATCCATTTCATTTTTATAATACAATTAGGACAACATGTGGGTCACTCTTAAAGTTTTTAGAATCAAGGAGACTACACACCGAAATGGAACCAACTTCTACAGATGCTCGTCACCATCATACTGCAGGCAAGTTTTCATCCACTTGAACCAGCTTTCAAAGGAGTTTCAAGTTTTCCACATCCGATCAGTCAGAGCCATTATTGCCTCCTGGTAAGCATTGATAGCCTCATCGGTGTTATTGAACCGGCGTCCAAGCAGCTGTTGCGTAACTTTGGGGAACAGGAAGAAGTCACAGGGACTCAGATCAGGCAAATAGGGTAGATGGGTCAAAAGTCTGACTCCCTGCTCCACCAGAAAGTTCAAAGTGCAAACTGCAGTGCGAGCAGGAGCATTGTCGTGATGAAATAAATAGTAAAATAAGCGTCCATTGGCATCCATGAAGCAGTACGGAAGTGTGTCGAGCCAGCGGGATGCTCCTTTTCGATGTTAATGAAGGTTTAAAGTAGGGTCACCATAGCATTAAACTAATGCAGAATTTAATGCTGCGTTAGGCTAATTTCTTTTCATGCAATCCACAATAAAAATCCCTGCTAATGTAGCTTAATCTCCACTCCTAATAGAGGTTTAAAGCTGGCATTAGGCAAATGTCAATTTCATGCAATCCACCCCTAGTATTCACTCAACATGGGAAAGGGTAATGGAAGAAACCTGCACAACAGGAAGACGTATAGGTTAGGCAAAAAAAGTCAATCTGAATATTTAGTGACAGCTGGCAAATATACTGGCCATGTGATTTTGAAATTTCATGTAAAATCTGGGAGCCCTGTTCAATCCTGATTAAGAGCCACTAAATTTTTATAAAGCTCCTGCAGGGAATCCAACATTATGTTCAGCCAAGCATGAGCCAAATATTCTAATAGTGCTGAACTTTTTATAGTATGTCTTTCTTATATGGCCAAAAACACATTGAAAATGTCATGCCAAGTTAGAATGTGATTAAATATTAAGCATATGAAAACAGACTGACCTTTATTATCCAGTGACAGTAGTGGATCATCAATGGAAGCAAGGTACGCCTGCGCCTATCCTTCCTCCATTGATCCACTACTGCTGAATATCACAAACCGCCCATGCTAGTACAAAAAATATCCAATGAGACCTCAATATTTGTCCTTTACTGCTTGCAGTCACTACAGCAAGAGCTTCAGAAGTGTTAATATTCATTTCTCTTGGCTTGCCTCAATGCAAAGCTTGTGCATGGTAAGTTCAAATAGTGAAAGTATTTTTCTAACCATGTGCTTTTAGCTGGGCATAACTTTGCATTCCCTACTGATGTTTTAAAGTGGGTTATGGCAGTCAATCAAGATTGAATATGACTTTCAGATGACGCTTGAAACTTTAAAATTGAATGACAAATATTTTTTCCACATTTTACCACATGCCACTTTTCGAACATTTTCGAGAAGGGAAATTGTTTTCTACCTTCCAAAGTTGCCCCGGGAATTTTATTTTCATCATGCGCCATCTTTGAAAGATTTATGGCAATCTCTTTGTTCCTGTGGAATAAATAAACCGCCCTCCCGAAAATAGGCACCTCGTGGTGCGCCTCAAAGGGTACGATTTTCCTTGAAACCCAAAGCCGGGGAACTGTTCACGTACTACATTTCAGTATTGCTCCTAATATAAAAAATTCTCTAAATTAGGATCTGTCCGTCAGCCGTACGGTCGTTCACACTCCTACTCTCCTCATTCTGAAAATGGAGGCAGTGGGAGACAAGGTTTTCCTTCTTTTTTCTACTTTTCTATCTGCGAGATAAAAAGTCAGAACCTCTGTTTGTCCTTCTGGTCTTACCTCACTATGTTCGCTCGTCTGCCGTTCGCAGAAAGAGGAACTTGGAAAGCAAGTGGTGGACTTTGTAGCAAGAATACTCCCGCGTCCAGAAGGTCTTCGCTGTGAAGCAATTCATGAACTACTCCGTAAACCACCTGTTTCATCGTCCGTCCTACTCGCCGAGATGAACTCCTAATTTAGTATTATTCCATAAGCAAAAGATCCGGCCGAAAGGAAGGAGATTTTAGGATATTCAAAGCAACATTAAAAATGCGACGCGAGCGCTGCTGGCGATTCCAAATTATGGGCATCCACAATGCTTGCTGCGGCTGAAGAAGCACCAGAAAACTAGTGCATACATGCCGAAGATGACAACCTCAAAGTCCATCATTATCTAGAAAGAATTGCCACAACGCCTTAAAAAAAATGTCAGTCTCGGACTGTATGCTGAGGTCACGTAGGCGTATTAGCATCTATTGATAAAAAACATAAACTTTATTATAGGTACCTCTGCCGGCAATTCACATTACCTTTGCGAAATATTTCAGAAAGAAGTTAAGGCCTAGTCTTACTCCAAAAACTTAACGGCATTAAACCTAACTTCGAATCTCCACACTGAAACCAGCGGATCCACGTTTGGCTTCCTTCAGTACATTGCCCCTGATCCTTCTCTCCAATTCTTCTTTGTCTTGGGAAGAAGGGAATCCCATGGATTGAAAGAGGAAGAGTTGACCATTGATGGTGGATTGTAGCTGCCGGGAATGATACGCACTTAATTTTCGTCGTCGGCATCTTGCAGTCTTCATTGTCGCATATGACCGACCATATACTAAAGTGTATAAATGGAAGGGTAAGCAAGATTCGCCTTAATGAGAACGTCTGCCGCTTCCTGCTGCTCCAATTTGCGGCATGCATTTTTTTNTTTTCGCTGCACTTCGTTCCGTGCTTGATTGTTTCTGGCTCACACGATTCAACATCGTTTGGGGATATACATTCGTTGAGACAAGGCGGCAATGGAGGAGTTACCACGGAGGACATATCAATGGCGCAGCAGATTCGCTTACCGTTGCATTCCGTTTGTTGGACTTCCGACCCAGGTTTGCACAAGATTTTAGCGAGAGCAGGATCAAGGCACCCGTGAGTTGAAGGGCATGGTAGCACCTGGACTGGACTGGACAAAGGCGATGGCTTACGGGGGACGGAGGAGAGTCGGCAGCATACTTGGGTATACTTTGGACAGGCAAAGTGGATGACAGAGCCTGGATCACAGACGGCCACATTTGTTTCTACGCAGGAGTATCCATCAGTGTCAGGACATAGGCAGACTTCTTCATTTGTTTCTCCATTTTCTTTCACTTCTCCATTCGTTTCTTCACCTGTCGTTGAACCACTTGTCTTTGCCGTACTTGCCAACTCGCAGCAGTAATCTCCTGTTTCCCGACATACCGTTCCATCTTTGGCAGTCCCTGGCAAACACGACGCAATATTGGCCCATGATACGCATGTGTTATTACAAGGTGGTGCCGATGACCGCGAGGAAGTTTGTATTATGCAACAGACTTCATTCTCACGACAAGATGCATTCGAAATGTTTGTTCCCGGTGTGCAGAGAGATTCTGCTGATAAACAGGAATGAGTAGTTGGGCATGATCGTACCTTTCCATTTTCTGGAGCTATCCAACAACAGGTTTCTGTTGCCAGAGGACAAGAAAATGGCAATTTTACGCTACACTGATTGGATGTGGCAAGAAATTGCTCATCTCTGCAAGAAAATTCATTGGGGCACTGGATATCCAACGGGCTCGCCCGTGTTTTTGAAGTGCTTGCTGGTATATATGGCTGGCAACATATATCCTCGGGTCGACAGTTGCTGACTTTCGAGAACACCGTCCCTGGCTTGCAGAGGGGCAATAGTCCGCTACTGATGCAATTGTAAGGGCAGTGACGACAGGCTCTCAATGAACTCGAATCAAGGTCAGTAAATTCGGTTCCATTTTGACACATCCCACGAATGCTCCTAAGGAGTTTTTGATCAAGCCAAGCTAACGAACAATCGCACAGGATAGGATTGCCTGAAATATAGGAAGGCAAGTAATGGAATAAGAGAAAACACCAGGTGAAGACTTAGCCAAGACACCAAGGAACCCACCAGTGAGGGAGAGGAATCCATCCAGGAGCGAGAGAATCTCAAGGACGGGGCGGAAGCTCTCCTCAGCCATTACTTCAATATTGTTGTAGTCCAGAATAACAGTCGTATTGTATCCGAGACCTGGAAGAGACAGGAGTCATGCTTTCGTAGTTACTAGCTTGAACAAATTTTCATGTCTATTTTTGCAAGCAAAATATTCATGATTAACTTATAAATCCCATATTTATCATTCAGGGTATACTGTAGGTAATGCGTGCAGTATCAGCAATGCGGAAGGGAAGGGATTGTGGAGTAAGGGACCCCATCAACAGGCTTTGATTGTGCCTATTGACTTTTTTTTAACTCCATTTTTCCAAGTTGAACCTTCTCGTATTCCTCTCTGGGAGAACCTACAGTAGGGGTCCAGAAAGTGCATGTTCACCGAGGAACTCTATATGCTCCACGCGACCCGTGGGCAGTACTTTGGAGACCCTTCAGCGATGCGCATACAGGCGGGGGCGAGCGCGAAGTTTCGCCATCCTTTTTCTCGGAATTAGGGAGTATTAAGGCTAAATGAAAAGGGAAGAAATTAAGAAAAACCTTACAAATCTTAGAAATTCTGATTTGGCCTTTGTTTTTTGGTAATGGATTATTCTAAATAACAGTGATTTTAATCAACTTAACTTAATGGTACAAAAATGATGTATTCGTGTTTCCCTTCTTATGCCCATCTATCCAATATTACAGTTTCTGATGAAACGGAATTGGTGGAGGGGGAAATGGGGGTGGGCCACCTGAAAAGTTAGCGCACCGCTGATCTAGAGGAACGAAATTGAGCATGCTTCTTTCTCACTCAACATAAAATCGTTCCAGCAAATGTAAGGCTGCATTTCCATGGAGAACCCTACAGCTGCAGAGAATATTGATCCTCGCATTTGGAATATGGAAAATTCATTCCGATATTTCTTTTCTCCTCCCCATCTGGGTCACCCTCCAGGAGTGTTTTCAGTTAAGAAAAACCTTCTCCCCCCTGCCCCCTCCTTCCCAACTGCCACCTCTCAGCCCAAGTAAACCACACGACGGAAAATGCAATTAAAAATACTTCATTTTAAAATTAATATTCCGAGTTATTACCTTCATTTTCTGAGGCGCTGTCATCGTTTTCCAAAGTTTGATTTTCATATGCTTTGGAAAATTGCTCTTCTTCCTTCATCACTCGATTATTGATAATTGAAAAGTCTGATAATTTTCAAAATCTGTTTTTAATTTCAACTAGTGCTCGTCACAATAAATTATAATGGTAAATAACATGTGCAGATTAGTGAAGGAAATATATTATTCTTTTGATTCAAGAAATTGTATATCAATATATATAATATTTGGTTTTTGATTTCCTGCAGATGATCCGACTCATTTTAGATTTTTTTTTAGAGTTTACCTTGGATCTGACCAGGATGAGAGGAGAAGGCCTGAATCTTCCCTGCTAAAATTCATTTTTATATCGTGAAACTGTTGACATTTGATCCTGCTGTGGTCAATCTGAGTTGACTGCACTAGCGCCATCTCTGTACAGTCTAGATATCTGCTACCGTAAGGCACCAGTTTCCAACGCTTGACTTCTCATTAAAGTTCAGACTTCTTAGTTGCACTGAGAAGTGTTCGTCCTTCTCATCGGAATAAGACTTTCGCCTATCGGTATTAGCACACTTTTTTTTAAAGGTTTTTGCTGAATTTTTCTCAGGGAACAGATAGGGGGAAAGGAAGAAAAGATCCCATGAAAACATGTGAGACTAGGGTAGCCTGAATGCGATGAAAAACCTAGACCCATTGTACGCTTGGGTGCCACGGATGTTTTAGTCATTCTGCCCAACAACGTTGTCAACATTAAAAAAAATTGAAATGTTGAGACAGTATTAATTACTGTCTCAACAATTACTGAGAAATTAGCCAGATCATTCAAGTGCTAAACTCCAGTTCTGATCCAGTTAAGGAAGTAACTCGGAATGACCCTTCCGTGGTATAATTGCACTCATTAGAGTAATTTCAAGTTCTAATCAATATTAGCGCGCGTTTAGGCTCAGAAAAAGGAGGCGGTAATGCCCAAACCTGGACAAGTGACATAATTGGCACAACGTGACACATGATCCGATTTTATAGGTTGAACTGCGTTTCATTTCCACATTGCGGCAACATAGTATCCCCCTTTTACCCACTGTTGTGGCCACATAGCTCCGTCGAAATATCAACCCTCTCTCAACCTTGACCAGACGTTGTTGGCCGAATGGGTAAACCTACCAATCATGGAATCTTGCCACAATATATTGTTGCAGCAGAAAATGCGCGTATGGTGTGCATGCTCATGGCTGTCTTATTCCGTTTTTAGTTCTGTCCTACATGTCCTTCATGGGCATCTGATAGGTTTTTCATATGAAGGTTCAGCGTATTTTTTCCTAAGAAATATTATACCTTTATCGTGGCACAAAATTATCAACAGAGAAACAGCTGGATTATGTCCCCGTGTCGATGATCGCAGGAGAAAGCGAATTGCACGTGAGAGTAATAATAATGTCGATCCCTCCTAACTTTCGACCAGCGAGGGCGAACGCTCCAACAAACGCTGAGCAAATGAGACAGATTCCGAGTACGATCAGTGGTATAGAAGACATTGGGCATGGGGTGGGCCTAGGCAGTTATCAAGTGCATTCAACTGTGATTATTTTCCATTGAAAATATTATTTTCCAACAATCGTCATCCAGTGAACCAGATCGAAATTCTCTATCTAATCACCCCGTGTGCACACGGACTTTCGACTGGTCCTGTATATCCCCCCCATTAATTTGGGTCGGAAGCAAGAAATGGGAATATATAGATATTATATTACTAGCGAATTTGCTTGCCCTTCAGGCAAGGAAAATTGCTATGGTCGCGCCATCGGCGCTGCAATACCTTGGTTAGTGATTAAAACATTAATTTTTTTGAGAAAAGGGAAACACCTATGTTAAGTACGTCCTCATTGAAATACAAGATATATGGGGATTAAAGTCTTGATATTTTAAAATCAAAAACATTATTTCTATTATATCTCGTGTGCTTAGCTTGAAATATTTTCATGTGTCCTTCTTTGTAAGGGTGGAGAATACATTTTGAAATACTTCCCCCTGTATTCTACGCAAAGGGGACATATTTCGAATGTAGGATTTTTCCTGCACTCAGCAATCAAACAGGTACTTCTGAAGGAAGTTTTTAAACTTTTTGTCTCTGTTTCGTTATATCAAAAAATTCAGGAAAATGGGACTAAAAAAAGTGCCCTAATGTGTTTAACAAGATTTTTTTTCTTGGAAATGTAGACTCAGAGAACTCCATGCCACTCAATTCAGCCTCATACGTTTCCTCTTTTTGCTGGCGGAAAAAAATGTATATGGAAAAGAGACACACCAAAAATCATTGCTGTGAGGAGACGCACGCAAAAAGTTGAATTTTTCCTTAAATCAACATCACGTCCATTATGCGTGCGCCGGCTGTTACTTTTTTATTTCTGCCCGATTCGCTGGGATATGAAAAATTCTGTGAAAATGTTACGTCCCCAATATGACCCCTCCCCCCCCCCAAAAAAAATATATATATCGGAAATTTGACATTTGACATTTCAGCTCAGTGCGTCAGCAGTCACGTTCTTGCCAGGTTTCAGCTATGTGTCTTAGTTTAATTGAAGCAAAGAGAAATTGAAAAAAAAGGAAAATATGTTCCCTGAAAAGGTATACCCCTATGGCATGTATCACCAAAGTAGAAATTTTTCTTTATTCAGGTATCCCTCAGGTTCTTTTTTGGCAAGTTCAAATTCAAACTTTCTAGCGCCCTCTGTTTTGCTGGATCGAGAAAATACGTCTTTTGCAATATATGTGCCCGGAGCGTTTTAACCAAAAAGTACTTTTTTTCATCGAAATCAATCCTCAGAGAACTGCATGCCCACAAATTTTCAACCTTATACGTTTGTCATTTTTGCTAGTGAAAAAAACTTTTTTGGAAAAGCCAACGCACACAAAAGCTATGCTAGGAGGGGATGCACCATGAAAGCTGAATACTCTCTCAACTCAGTAATAATAATATCATGTCACTTATACGTGTGCTCGTTTTACGTTTCCATTTCTGTCCAATCTGCCCAGAAAATAATTTTTTTGAAACATCTCCCCTCGAAAAAATTTCCCAAGGGATGTATCGAGACTTAACATTTTCCTCGAACTATATGTCTCGGTAGTCACATTCATGCAACGTTTCAGCTTCCAATGTTCATCAGTTTAACTGATGCAAATAAATTACTTGAAAACATGTCCCCTTGAAAGTTGTGCCCCTGGGGCATTTACTTCCAAAATCTGACTTTTTCTGTACGCAGCATCCCAATAGGTAGTTGTGCACCAAGTTTCATCTTTCCACACCAGCTGAATACGCAAGGGCAAAAAAAAATACTTGAAAACGTCAGCCCCTAAAAACATGCCCCAAGGGCATGGATCTAAATTTCTGCATTTTTCCAGAACTCATCGTGTGGTAGGCATGTCCATGCCACCATTCAGCTTTCCATATCTCTGTCTTATTCAAGCAATGGGACATGGAAGACAAAAGAAGCCAAACGAGAGGCTTGGAATGGGCGGGAAATGAACCCAGGCCTCACGATTACCGGTCAGATGTATTACCACTACCCCATCGAAACGGGAACATGCAGTAGTATCTCTCGGTCACATCCTTATCCACCACCATATATATATATATTTTTTTTTTAATTCTCCCCCCAAAATGTGTACCCCCAGGGCATGTACCTCCAAAATCAGATTTATTCTGAACTCTGCACCCCAAAAGGTACATGTGTACCAAGTTTCAGATTTCTAACCTTTCTGGAACATGGTTAGAATTAGCGTCAGTCAGTCACGAAAGTATACATATCTTAGATTCAGGATAAATCTTAGACCAGAATTCGACGTGGAAAATGGTGATTTTCAATCGATGTAATGACAATCGCGTTGCTACCAGGGTTTCATGAATTCATAATCTGGATTCCTTCTAGTTCACAACGAAAGTAATGCATGAGCCAGGGGGAACTGTAAGGAAACCTTGATACAAAGTCTGAGAGGTGCGAATGAGTCGTGAGAAGTTCTACCAATTGTCCAGTGAAGTTTCTTTCCTGTGACTAAGAACCCATTGAAGTTGATGACCTTTGGCCTCCATTTTAACTTCATTATTACCCCATTGGGATGAGAACGAAGAGGCCCATGGCAAATTTTGCATTTCATTCGCTCATTAATAAGACGTCGATGGAAATAAAGAAAACTTTACTGATGAAGAGTGCACAAAAGTAAAAGAGTAAAAAGTGGCAGATTAAGCAAACGAATTTTACAGGACGTTCCAAACTTTATGGCTAAAGTGAAACACTCCTGATACCTACACAGGTTGTAAAGAAGCTCTTCAGATCTAATTATAGCTCAGAAATAGTTTACATGTTTTGAAATGTAAGAGAAGACCAACCAAGTTCGAAAAATGACTATATTCCAGCCGATCACTCCACCTAAGCTTTATGCCTGTTCATAACGATAATTACATGGCATTTTGAGAGGAACTTGGATTATATAGCATACCTGTTATAGCTCCCGGATCCAGTCTTGAGATATTGTTACAGGAGAGCATTACCTTCCTCAAGGTCTTGCTTCGGAAGGCTAATGCCCCAGGGGGAAGATTGGGCCCCAAATGGCACCCACCACATTGAAACGTCTCGAGACTCTGAAGGCTCTTCATGACAGAAGCGGGCAACTTCACGATGGGATTCGAATCTGATTCATGGGAATCATCCTTGTGAGACAATGTAATTGTATCAATTTGTATAAAACTTGTTGCTAGGATGACAAACTTCACGTTTAATGGTATCATTCTTGCACTGTCCTCTGCAGTGTTCTTAGTATTTTATAGTATTTTATCTTAATTTGGAACCGCTAGTATTTTATATTTTTTATCTTAAAATTCTTTTTAAAAATGCACATTGTGCGCTTCACATTGTCAAATATGAATAAATTAAATTGATTATAATATATGAAAAATCAGTCATTGCAATTTTTTTACTGACGTTGTAAATGACCTTCCAACCCGATACATCACTGCAATCGATCTGTTTTTTCCCTGAACCCAATGTTCAGTATTTGAGGGATCATGGTGTGAACAGCAGCATAGATACGATCTCTTAAACAGAGATACGATCTCTTAAACGATCTCTTAGGTCGGCAACCTACAGCCCGCGGGCCGGATGCGGTCCGCAAAGAGATTTCATCCGACCCGCAACGACCTTCGTCGGGCGGCACTAAATTTTTCTCAAAGGAATCGATGAAACCTGGACGTTTTTATCTCTTCCTCACAGCAGCCTCGTTTATTGTTGGAAAGGAGAGAAATTAGTTTCAGTATTCTGTGCTCTTATTACCTGCTGATGACCTGCGATTGTCTGATAATTGAACTATTACGAACCGTCGCCAGCGCGTGAGGCGCGGGTTTGCAAACGCAGAGGACTTGGTTCGGACTTCAACCTCGAAAATCGCTAATCCTTCGTCTTGTTGCGCCAGCACGCGCGCCCTCCGTATCACCTGTCCTTTGTTTTATGTTGATGGAATGAGAGGTTGGGACGTGTTAGTCATGCTGCACTTTTCTTGGCTTTAGGAGGCTGGCGTGTTGGTGGATGTTTTCAATATATTTTATTATGAACCTGCAATTCTACCACGTTGCTGTCAAAACCAGTAATTTAAAAAGGCGAAAATTTGGCTTCGAGTGTCGGGTGTTCAGCAACCAGCGGACACACGATTACCTGTTTCTGTAGTGCAAAGATAAGGCAGTCTGTCTTGTCTGTAAGGAGAGCGTTTCGGTGCTCAAGAAATACAGCAGTAGGCGGCATTACGAAGCACATTATAAAGGCAAGTATGACTCTCTGAAAGGCCAGATCAGGATTGACAAGACAGAGGCTCTGAAAAAGGCCTTGTTTGCTTAGTGGAATATTTTCAAGAGAGTGCAGGAAAACCTGGCTCCAGTTCGAACTAGTTATCATGTCATTAAATTATTAGCAGAGGCATTGAAGTAACTGTGCCTCTGTGCAGTCACAGAGTTCGCACTAAGAGACCAACATGCCGAGATGTTGGTTTCAAGTAACCAAAAACTGCCTGTATTACGGTTAAGAAATGGGAGAATCAAACATTGTAGTAGCATCAAGTTTTAGGCACAGCAATATTGCATCTGATTCTATGATCAAAGTGTGTGTATTGCACACATATTTCAGTTAAAATAAACATAAATGCCAAAAATCTTAATTTGGAAACCTCTTAGAGCACTTAGAGAACCCCCGTTTCTGCACCTCTCAGCACTATGGTAAAATGGGTGGTTTTCGCGCGATGAGGGGGATTTCGCGGAATGCTCATTTCTCGCACGTCCCCCAACGAGAGGCCTATAGTTGTCGACAAAGCTATGTCCAACGAGGACACAGGAGATTCCAAGTACGCGCACGTGAAACTTCCACCTGCTTACGCTCACGCCTGTCATGGGCAGGGCTGTTTGCGCGATAGGCTACCTCCGTTCCTTAAGATACGACCCGTTTCGCAGGAAAATTGAGATCGCTTTGAAACCTGGCATGTACTTTTCTATAAGGGATAGAGTAGTGCCCTCATAGGATAATGTTTAAGGAGAACGTGACTTCAAAATAAACTAAACACTTTTTTCATCCGGTCCTTGTAGAAGAAAGGTGGTGCGCGAAAAACACCTACAGAAAAATCCTTTTTTGCTATTTTCGCGAGCATGCGCGAAAACCAAATGTTCATATATGGGGCTGTTGAAGAACACTATATTCAATTCTTGTTACAGCACAATGAATATATCCTTTGTTGCAAATAGAAGTGACAAAATGAGAAAATTTTCAGCATTTTTTTTTTACGATTCTGAAAAATATTCGTTTTCTTTACTTCCTCTCAAATGTACAGCTCAATTACGGAAAGAATGGCTACCCAACCACAATAGAAGTTATATTCCTATGTAATCTTGAGAAAAAATATAATAATTCGTTTTTTTTGCAGTGATATAATTCTTCCCATGAGAAAACTTTTCTCAACTGAATTTTCTTTTGACGTTGCTGGTAGCAATACGCATTAACCCATTGATGAATGGCGAAAGTAAAGATTGCCCAGCCCATAGTCGTTTAACTGGCAAGAATAAAGGAGCAAAGGCGACAGAAGCACCTCAAAGAACAGAGGAAAGGGGACGGAGAAACTATCTTAAGGCAGAACAATGCAATGAGGAGACCATAAGTCTGAAAGGGTAAAAATGGAGAGAGGAAGGTGGAACGACGTTCTCATAGAAATCAAGAAATGGCTGGTTGATTTAAGATGCTACTTCAAAGAGGAAAATGCTCTTAACCTTCTTATTGATGAGGAGGCATCACGTGTCTTCAACTTTGACGAAACAGGGTTTGTGCTACAAGGCAGCAGTGGTCTGTCCTAAGTTTTTTGCAGGAAAGGGATAAAAAAAAACAGTCCAAAGGAAAGTTTCTGATGGTAAAAGCACCATTACAGTGCTTATCGGCGCTTGAGCGGATGGATACTTTTTACCACCAATTATAATGGTAAATGCTCTAAGTTTACCAGATTACAAATGCTAGATTAGGCTGGATTTTGAAACGGATGAGTTTTGAATCTGACGTTCATCGTCTGGATGTATGATAGAACGTGCTATTTTTCCAATGCACGAGAGACGTTTGCATTCCACACGTGGAAAAAAAGCGTCTGAAAACGCCTGTCTTTTTATATCAGGATGGACACTGGACTCACACTACCATTGAGCTGCAGAAATTCTTCATTAATGAAGATACTAAATTGTACGCGTTGCTCATGCAAGCCACATCCTCCAGCTGCATGAAAGGCACCCTCAGGTTGACTTCACCAAAACAAGCTTTCTGATGGTTTTTCTTTGGGTTTTTGGAGGGAAGTCCGAGAACGAGATCATCTGGCAAATTTAGGCTTCAGAAAGTCTGGACTCACTGAAGATCAGATCAACATTTGTTATTGTGCATGCGACAGTCGTGAGGGCCAATAGCGGGTGATCGCTTCTTCACCTTCAAAACGTATCTCTTCCAGGAACTTAGTGGCGTTTTCTACCTGAGAAACAATTGCTATTTTCTGCATTTTTTTATAGAGGACGAAGTTTTGCGCTTTTAATCAATAACTTTCTTTCTCCCATAGTGGCACAATATTCTTTTTTCCAGTTCTGCTATATATGCACATTTTCACGATAGGAACCATATTCAGAAAGCTGTGGTCTGGGTTTAAAGAGGAACAGTGATTTTTCAGTTTTTAATATGTGAATTTACCCTACTTTCCTTATATCGCTCTCCTTTGTGATTTAATAAACAATACCTCGAGCTTCAGTTGATCACGATCACTTCGAGCCAAAACTGTAAAAGTAGTGTTTTTCGCGCTTTTAAAATTGCTTTAGTCCTGAAGACGTGAGGTCTACAAAAAGAAAATTAAATGGTTTGCTAACTTTGGACTCATTTTTATGCGTAACTATTCATTATGATGGCGGAGGGATACAATCTCAAAAAATGAAAACTGTCATTCTACCGTACTTCCAGGAGGAGCTCATGGATGTAATGAACAAGCCAGGTCATTTCAAAGCATAATGCGCGAAAATAGCATTTGTCTCGCGCAGGAGGGATACAATCTCAAAAAAATGAAAACTGTCATTCTACCGTACTTCCAGGAGGAGCTCATGGATGTAATGAACAAGCCAGGTCATTTCAAAGCATAATGCGCGAAAATAGCATTTGTCTCGCGCGATTATCACCGAGGCAACCACGAAATCAGCCCTTCGCTACCTCACCTAAATTTCGCTTGTCTCCTTTTCTGAATGTTATTGTAGCGATATTAAATTTACAATGAATTGATAGCCAACTTGGCACCCTACAAAATGAGGTTTTTCGCTCAAGTCTCCGACGGAGGATAAAATCGTCACGGGATGCGGAAGTTCAAAATACAAAGATAGTGCGCGAAAACCACCCCTTTTACCATACTTCTCAGTTATCGCTCTGCGGCCCGCGACCTGACTGTACTATGACGATCCGACCCGCCAGTACCAAAAGGTTGCCGACCACTGTCTTAAACCATCATCATGGAGAACCTTGGTGCTGTAAACCTTTGATTTAATGTTCCCCCTAGCTAAAAAAAAATCCAATGGAGTAAAGTGGATCATGAAGCCCACATTCTGTTTGATCCTCAGCCAAGTCCACGGTTCGGGAATTTCCCGCTTAGATAATCTCACTCAATGTTCGCGACATAGGGAGGAACTCCGTCTTGCTGGAAGTCACGGTATCGAGAATACCGTCGTCTGTTAGCTGTGGCTTAAGAAATTGCTGCAACATGTCCAGGTAATTTTCTCCAGTTTTTCAACGTTGAAGATTTAAGAGATTGAATCTATGCTGCTGTTAACACCATAACCCCGACATGCTGAACAATGTGTTCAGGGAAACAACAGATCGATTGCAGTTACGTATCGAATTGGACATGGTAGTTTAGAACTTCAGTAAACAATTTAATGACTGATTTTTTTTTAATTATCAGCTTAATTTACCACCTACGGAATATTCACATTGGCTTGATATCCGAGTCGCAGTAAGCCTTAATGGCTTACTGCAAATGAAAAACGAGCCGGAGTCGTTCCAGGGTGCCATATACGAATTTTGATTAACTGCAACAGGGGTCACAAACTCACCCATTAAGAATATCCTCAATTCCGGCGTCGTCCATTCTCCTTCCTCCATTCCGGAAATTTCATTTAATTGAAGGTAGAGTAACTGAAGGCTAGGACTCCTTAGGGTCGGGACCTTGGTTAAGTGGTTGCCCAATAGGTGTAGCTCTCTGAGATGGGGCAGCCACGGAAGAAGATAAAAGGGAAACTCCTTGAGGCGGCTGAAACCAATTTTCAGTGTTACAAGCCAATCCTTAGATGACAGGATGACCGACGGATGGACGCTCTCCAGTATAGTTGAGTAAAGTTCTATCTTCTGGAAGGCGAGGTTCCCGAACATTCTATTTGGAAGCTCCATCACTGCTTTGTTATGCAATAGAATAAAACGCCTGTAAGAAGATGAAAGAGGCAAGTGAAGGTGCGTAATTATAAAATGTAATGCAATATACCTAGTTCTGCCATAAATACTGTTACAAGATTTACATGTTCCTTGCATTCTAGCGAAAGAAGCTAGAAACTTGTAACCTAGTAATCCTGCAGTGTATTATATGCCGTATTGTTTGGTAACATTTTGGCGGTTGTGTTGCGTGCAGTAAACATGGAGTGGGGTGACAAAGAGAATAGCATAGCAGTGATTTCCCTGCACAAAGTGGGTCAAAAACCTGCAATCATTTTAAGACTTTGCAGTCACTTGGAATCAGTCAGCAGTTTGTTTACCGAGCTATCAAACGTTACAATGATACTCAGGGAGAACGAGACCGCCCTAGATCTGGACGTCCACCCACTGCCAGAACACCACGAGTCATCAAAGTAGTTAGCAACAGGATTCAGCGAAATCCGCTACGCAAGCAGAAAGAGATGGCCAGGGAAATGACCATCTCGACTAGAAGCACGTATCGGTTGATTAAATCAGACCTAAGGATGGGTGCTTACCGAAGAAGCACAGGACACATGCTGACTCCATCTCTGAAAGAAATCAGGAGGTCGCGATCGATAGTGTTGCTGCAGAGGTACGCGCAAAACAGACACCACAAAATCCTCTTTACTGATGAGAAAATCTTCACTGTTGAAGAAAAATTCAAAGGGCCAAATGGACAAGTGTATGCCTACAACTCTTGGGAAGCTGCAGAAGTCATCCATAAGGTGAAGAGAGGTCACCATACTGCTTCTATCATGGTTTGGTGGGGGGTGAGTTATGAGGGTGTCACCAAGCTGCATTTTTTCAAGCAAAAAGTGAAGACATCAGCCAAAGTGTACCAGGAATAAGTCTTAGAGAAGTCAGTGAAGCCTCTCAACTAAACAATGTTCAATGGGGGCAACTGGATCTTCCAGCAAAACTCAGAACCTACTAACATGGTTAGGACGACGCAGGACTGGCTAGACAGCAATGTCCCCAAGTTCATCAAGGCCTCCGATTGGCCATCTGGGAACCCACTGGACAACGAACTGTGGGTAGAGTTGGAGCTGATGGCCAACCACAGAAGACATCCAAATATTGAAAGTCTCAAGCGAGCCCTTGCAAAATCAGCAGCCAATATCCAATGGAAGTGGTGCGTGCTGCGATGGATGAGTGGTCTGATCATTTAAAGTCATGCGTGAAGGCCAGGTGTGGACATTTTGAATAATGTTTCTGTTATATGTTAGTAATTATGTAGGGAAATACATACTGTTAGCAAATAAAGCGTATGTTTTATATGAAAAGTGTTATTACAAAAATACCTTGTAACAGTATTTATGGCAGGACTAGGTATCCTGCTATACTTTAATTCGAAGAGGTCAAATGTTGCGGTGGTGGTGGTGGTGGCCGTGGCTGTCACCCTCAACGCGCAGGCCTACGATGCAATCCCATTCTGGATCACAGGCCAGGACCATCCACGGCCTAAAGCGCCAAGCCTATGCCTTTCCCGACCATCCTATACTGTAATTCGAAGAGGTCAAAAGCTGCGGTGTCGGTGGCCATGGCTGTCACCCCCAACGCGCAGGCCTACGATGCAATCCCATTCTGGATCATAGGCCAGGCCTACAAGACTACGCCTTTCCAGGCCATCTTATACTTTAATTCGAAGAGCCCCAGCGCGCGTGGCCTACAACACTACGTCACTGCAGGCCATCCACCCCTCTAAGCGCCAGGTCCTAGAGGCTATGTTATTCTAGGCCATAGGCTTGGCCATCCAACGCTTTTAGCGGAAGGTCTATCAAGCTATATCAGTCTGAGTCATAGGCTTCATACTTAGCTGCGCCAATAAAAGGGTGGTAATAACTGAATGCGTGTCACGTTTTCACTGATCGACTGCAAGTGCTCCATTTGAATACATTCTTTGATCAATTATTTTTTCTGTGTTCATTTTTTTCCGTTAGGTCAGGCGTGGCGGTTCGGGACATCGCTTCCATGCAATAGTTTTCTGCTTGCGTTTCATGTCATGGCCGACTTATTTGAGTTCTCATGATTGATGAGGTCAAAATAATGCCGTAAATTCTTTGTTTAATACGTCGCACAAACGGACCGTTCCTCCCATCAAAATGGTCGCGATATTTGCGAGGCTAGGTTAAACGTGAAAAAGAAATGTTGAAAGATGTCCCACAGGACGGCGATGAGGCAGTCGCTGCATATGATAAACGATTGGTGCTGGCGCGGAAACAACGTTTGCCACTGCAGTTGCGGTGCAAAGTGCCTAAGTCGATGCTTTAGGAGGTGCTAGCCATAATGGCTAGAATGACTGATGAACAATACCCGGTTGCATGTAGGGAGCGTCAGGCTGAACAGCAAGAGACAGAGAATGCTGATCTCAGGTCTCAGGAATGGGAGAGTCATGCAGCATGCTGGGCAACATGATGAAAGGAACGCAGCAATCAGGTGTCGAAAGTCGGTGGGCTGCCGGAAATTGAACCCGGACCTCTTGCTTGCAAGTCAGGTGTGCTACCATTACACTACGGAACTCGGGACATTTTGTCAGGCCTCTCCATGTCATCTCAAATCGCTACAGTCGTTTGCGCAGCAAGCACTGTCAGGCTGTACATTTTGCTGTAGGGAGGGGACATTTGTTTCATATTGCTGCCACAACAGAAAAGTGCTTCTGCTGCAACTCACACTAAACGCTCACACTGTTGTTCACTGGTGCTAATGTGGAGGCGAGGCAATTTCAGGAATTATTCGTTAGTATTCCGCTACACATGCGCAATACTTCCTCTGTGCTAAAATCGAACAGGTTATTGGGAATGACCCGTACTGTTTCAGATTCAGTGGTACCTGTACCATAAGATAATGCTAATAACCCATGAGCTAATCGGTGATGCTAAGAGTATTGAATGTGCTGGGAAGAAGTTGTGGTGGTTGCTGTCACCACAACGCGCGAGGCCTACGAGACCAGGGGCCTTTTTCACGAAACTTCTTTATCTTTTCTTTAACTTTATTTCGGCTATATTTCGACTTTATTTCTTCTTTAACTCTATTTCGACTTCATTTCGACTTTATTTTTTCTTTAACTTTATTTCGGCTATATTCCGACTTTATCCGGACTCAAAATAAAAAGAAAATAAATCACCTTTGGAGGTCTCTCTATCTCGACTTTAACGACTCACGATGCCTTTGAGTGGACATACATAAGAATAATTGTACGGGGTTCGCAACGTACTCATAAGAAAGACGGTGGACACTGAATGACGAGAGGCACACTTGTGCTGGTACCGACGTTCCGAAGTCATAATTCGAAAGCAGCTTCGTCGGGAAAGAGTACTACGCGACCGAAACAACCCCTTGGAAGAGGATGGCGATGAAGGACTCTGGAGCAGATTCATCATGGATGGAAAACCAAAAATTCATTTCACGAAGCCTCTCTTTAATTTTTACTCGACTTAGTTTCCATAGCAACATCATTAGAGACATGCTGTCTGGTGTTAGTGTTAGCTGCCCCCCCCTGCAAAAGGGGAGCCTCAAAGGTCACCCACCTTTGATGGCCCCTTCTCCTTGAATGGACTGGCCCACCCTGTTCCCACGATAAAAGGGGAGCCTCAGAGGTCATGCACCTGTGATGCCCCCTTCCCCTTGAAAGGACTGGCTCACCAGCTCTTTTTGTCGGAACTTTTTTTCGCGTTTATATTAGCGACATTGTTCTGTGGACAGAGACTTGCGTGACTTATCATAGTCATGGATTCTGCAAGAAATCAAATCCGCGAGTTAGGTAATTCATTTGACGACTGCTAATCAAGTAGAGTTCGCGAAATGCAAAAACAGAGCAACAAAGGCAGCTATTGAAGTAATAAATTCCAAAGGAATAAGCCTGTCTGCATACGCCCATGTCGCTAGCCAGTTCTCCGAAGATTCTCTCAGTGGTACGTGATGGCAGATTCAAGAAAAAGGAAGGAAAAGTTCTCCTCGCATGAATTAGAAGTTTTGGTGGAAGAAGTGCACCAGCGAAAGAGTGTACTGTTTGGAAAGTTCACGTCCACTTTAACAGCTTCAACAAAGCAAAGTGCATGGGCGGCGATTGCAGAGCGAGTCAATGCAGCAGGAAAGAGTCCAAGATCGATTGATGATATCAAGAAGAAGTGGAGCAATCTTGCCTCAAATATGAAACAGAAGGAGGCGAAGAGAAAGCAATTAAGTACTGGAACGGGTGGTGGAAGTCCACCGGAAGATGATTTGACTCTTGAAGAGGTTAAAGTCCTCTCTGTTATTGGAATCGAGTCCGTTGTTGGGGTGCAAGGTGGTGAGGACACGGATGAACTGGAAAGTTCCTCTTCAGTTCATCACCCAGTTCATCCAATTCCATCTCCAGTTTTACCACTTCCATGCGCCATTGAGCCTAGTATCGAGGGATCGAGTGTAAATCGATCGGGACCAACGAGCTTCATTAAGCCATCCACTTCAAGTGCTCATGCTGAACCAAGGTATGCACTTTCGCTAATATAACTGGGACTCGAGCAAGCTTGGGGTTGTGATAAGTTATAATCGAAAACTTCGGGAAGGTAATGCAACATATTCTGAGAAGTCATACATCTCACAAGCATGACTGGAAATTTATATTTAGACTTCTTGAGGCGGAAGAACGCCGTCAGAAGAAAGGGGAGGGGCCGCCATCTTCAAAAAGAAAGCGAAGCGGAACTTACGAAGAGAGGCTGCTTGCCCTCGAAGAGGAGAAAGTCCGCTATCTCGGGGAAATTTCTGAATTCTTAAGGCAGATAGCCGAGAATGTAATTCCCGTGAGAAGAAGCACAGATGCTTCCGCGTTTGCTGAAGAAACTGTTGAAACTGTTCTTGGAGAGGCATTTTCGACATTATAATTGGCTCATTTATTTCTTTGTCAGTTTGAAGGTATTTTAAACAAGATTTTTTTTTTCTTTTTCAACACTTTTCTTTATTCGTCAATAAACCAGATTGTGATAGGATGCT